CTAGCAGGGCCGGCACGGCTTGACCTCTTGGCATACTCTTGTAACTGGGCCAAAAAAAAAACAAAAAAACCCCAAACAAAGCAAAACCCGACCCGCCCTTGCCTGTAAAGCATACTTAAACCCCATTTGCAATAGGTCAGAAGTTAGGCGCCGTTACAACGCAGCCGGTGGCTGGAGGAGCAAAGCCACCGTGAGGTTGTTACAGGGGAGGGTTGTGCGGTCGGCCCCGGCGGTGGCTGTGGAGCCCTCGTCAGTTCAGTATTTAAAAAAAAAAAAACACACCTAAAGACTAAATATCCAAGGTTTTTCTCTGGCCCCTATTGCGTCTGCTCTGGGCTGGTTTGCGGAGTAACCGTGTATAACGCTAACTGTGCTGTCACCTTCAACTGTTGACCTAGAAAGCCAACTTTTTAGGGCATGTGTCCTAACACTCAAGACTTATTTTCACAGTTAAGAAATTTCCTGCTGTACTAATTTCTTTTCTCACTCTTTTTGTTTATTTTTTTTGGCTGCAAGCCTTATGTTCCACCCCCCCCAAAAAAAAAAACACCCAAGAAAAAGTCAGTGGTCACACTTAATCATGTGCAGCAGGTTGCAGTGTGATCCTGCTGTGTGCAACTTGTGGATATCAGACTGTTCTTAAATGAGTTTTCCAAGCTGTTCCCGAGCTGGTCCTCTAGCGTATCTGCCCTTCTCCTCCTCCGGTGAGCTGGCAGGTACAAACTCATAGGAAGGCTACGGGGTGGGTTTTTTTTTTTTTTTTTGGGGGGGGGGGGGGGGGGTGGCGGCGGGGGGCCAGGACCTGCTGCTTAACGGACCACAGTCTGAAGCAAACAGCACACCTACCATCCAAATCAGCTCCAGATAACAGGATGGTCATGGGAATTCACCCTCCCGTTGTCCCGGCAGCCAGTCCCGCAGGGAAACCAGGCTCCTGCTGCAAGCCCCGCTCCACCATGCCATCGGCATGCAAGCACAGCAACACCACCTCTTTTAATTAACTGTGCACTTTACGATTATAAATCCAATTGCATTGAAAGAAGTTTAGCAAAAAAAAAAAAAAAAAAAAAGGCGCTCTCGTTGGACAGCTTTAAGAACAATGTGAATGAAAACTTAGCAACTTGGTTAGGAATCGTGGGAAAAAAAATTCTATAAAATGTATACTTGAAATTCTGTTTGTATTAAAAACAAATCGCATTTTCTTCTTTCTTTTAACACTGTGTAAAAGAACATTATGCATGTGAGTGGTTTGAGAATTAAATGGTTTAATACTCAGCTCCTTGTCCGCCTCTTGTAGCCGACTGGTCATTTCTGACGAGGCAACGGCTTTGAGTTGCTCTGGCAGTGCAGCCCGGCCGGGGTCCTGCGCACGTGAGGTCAGCCGCGATGAGAAAGCCTAGTCCCTCCTTTGTGCAACGCTTCACTAGCCTAAGCTTAAAACATAGGCGAGCCTGGACTGGCTCAAGCTGCTTTTTTTAATCATCCTGGATGATTTTCCTTCTTTTTCCGTGAGCTTTGTCCCACCATTTCTGCAGGCAGATGAAGCAGTTGGGTTCAATGTTTGGCATTTCCTCAACCTTCCTCTTTCACCAGGAAGCCTCTCAGCCTCTGCACCACGGCAGGTGGAGTAGAGCTGAGAAGACAGAGGTTTTACTGGAGATGATACATTTCTGGAGCCGCAAAAAGAGGTAAGCAGGCAGAAAATATTGTCCTGCAAGAAAAGCAGCAGCAGAGGTGAATGACAGAGTAGGACAGGAAGAGGAAGAGCTGCTTTCTGAAGGCTTAGTCATTTCCAAAATGTCTCCCCACCACCTTCTTCCAGGTAGCTACACACACAGCTTCCTTCAGCGGCGTTACGCCAGGTCAGCATGCCAGCAGAATCGGTATTTAAGAGCCTCAGCCTCATAAATGTAAGAACGTCACAGGTTTCCTATGTGTTTAGGGGAGCGAGTAAAACAGCATGTGACACAACAGAGGGGGTAACGCTCCTGTCCCAACTGTGCACCGCTTGCAGCGCAAACAGCAGCTCAGCCCTTCCTGCAGGAGAACAGCAGAAGGAACGACAGCGCTGCAAAACCTCGGACTGCTCCCAAAACTACCAGCAACAGCAATATTCCCAGGCGTGACCAAGTGTAATTTCATGCTAGGTCTTCCATAGGTTGGCACTTCTCATTTGACTGCCTCATTGCTTGGCTTGCTGTGGTAATCGCTGCCTAAGGGTGGTCGTAGTTTTTTTGTTTTTGTTTTGTTAATAAGGATGTGTTTTACTGGTCCTGTGAAAGCCACAGATTAAATCGCACATTGGTGAGTACCATCTACCAACAGTGTAACGTTTGCACGCAACACCTCTGTAACGTGCACCACTAACAACAGGACAGGACTCTGCTTTCATTGGCTTCTTTAAGCTCACCAGGTTTACTTCTGCATCTTGAAGCCAAAACCGTCAGAGGTCCTTCCTACAGCAATGTGGCTGCCCTGTGGTGGAACAGAGGTCAGAGCACATGTATGGAGTGGCAGCAGACCAGGGTGCTCAGCTCTAGGACTAAACTTGCAGGTGAAAAAACAAATTGTTAAGTACAGTCTTCATTCACCTACAGGCGAGCACAGTGACTTTGTGGAGCGATTGGGACAGAGTTACAGCTGTTAGTTGCATTGCCTTAATTGTGCATTGCCATGGTCCAGAGAGAGCCCCACTGCGGTAACTTTACCGTGAAACTAGTCTGAAGATCACCACTCGGGTAAATGCACAGCCTTGGCTAAGAGATGCTTTCACTAGTGACTAATCGGCACTTAGACACATCAAAGCTGCCGGCAGGTAGGACTAGGGTGTTTGGCAGCTTTTCCTCCTACCAGCTGTTCAGCGCAGAACTGGGTGAAGATGTTTTTTGGCACAGCTGGCAGGTGGGCAGCTGAAGGTTGCGATTCCACCGACCTCTACAGCGCAGGTCTGACCGACTTAATTGTTCCACTGAACTGGGGAGTGCAGAGAAGGGCCCTTTCGTTCAAAAAGGCAAGTTTTAATAGGCCCAGGAAATGACTTAGCGAGGAGAAAACTGTCCATACAGAGACTGGTTCGTTACATACAGATCTATAGGTTTTAATGTACTAGGTGATCAGCGTTACAGCTTGAGGCCTGAAGGGGAGGAGAGGTTGGATACAAGCATGATGGCAATGCTGGACTCAGGTTTGGGTGCCACAAAAATACTGGTGCCAGAAAGCGTTCAGCTGCCTTCGAATAAAGGCTGGGGCAGGGGAGCTGCCCTGCGACGCCTCACCTGCCCCGGCGAGGAGGAGCGGTTACAGGCCAGCTGGGTACAATAACCCCGGCAGCTTGCACCAAACAGTGAGCCCAGCCGCCCTAGGCGTGAGCTGGGCCGTGCGACAACACCCTACTACCACTTTCCAGAGGCAGAGAAAGGAGGAGCAGGGCCCCGATGGCTTAGGAGCAAGGATCAGCTATTCGGCCCATGAAGATGATGGTGTTGAGGGCAGCTTCCCGGATGAAGAGCAGGAAGGGCCTGTTGGCGTTGAAGCTCATTCTGTTCATGGGGAAGGACCGGCCGGAGATGACGACAGCTGTAGCGGCTGATGCCTCACTGCCTTCTTCATTCACCTGCCAACCAAGAGAGAAGAGTAGATTAAAATGTAAGCATTGCGCATTGCCCAGCCCTGCAGCTCTGGCAGGTTTAAGATGCCCTGTTTTAGAGGGCTCTCCCTCCTTCCCCACCAATCCAAAGCACAAAAAGAGAGGTGACATTGTGGCTCCAGCACCAGTCATAGCAGTCTTTTCTGTTGGCTTATTCCAGATTTTAGGGTATCTCCTCAACTGCCCTGGTTGCACAAGCATGATTTGCAAAGGTACATGCATCCTGTACAACGCCAAAGAGGATGCACCTAGGGGAAAGTCGGGGCTGTGTTGCTTACTGTCATCATCAACGTGCTAGCAGCCAAGATAGGTAAAAGCCAGAGCCCAAAGCAGAGCAGTAAGTGGTACAGCGGCGGCCTCTACACACCTGGCCCTACTCCTTTACTTGAGCAGAGCTCAAAAGGTCGGAGGGATGCAGAGCAGGGCAAGGGCAGAGCAACGCCGGTCCACAGCCGCGAACCGTGCCACCCCGCCAGCACGTGCCTGGCGAAAGACCAGCAGGAAACAGGTCTCAACCAGATCACCAGGCTTTGGATAGGGCCACAGGCTTGCCACAGACAGGCTCCCACCACGTCCCACCTCGTACTCCTGGCACCTACAGCATCATTGAGGGCTGAGAGGCTTGATGTGGTTGCAGTGCCAGGCCTCCGCCTCCCCGCAGAGCCCCACGTCATAGAAGTGAACGCTGTAGGTTTGTAGTGAACGCTATTTGGTTTAAAAACACGAAGCATAACAAGAAAAAAAAGTTAAGAGGAAAATATGTCCTGGGACAAAACAAAGCTTACCTCAAGGAAGGCTTTGTGGAAAGCGTCAGATACGTAGAGGTCTGTACGGCCCTCTGCAATGATACCTAAAACCCGGAATAAAAAAAAATTGGAGAAAATTGTAAATATGTTTTGAGATGACAGCTCAAGAGGCAAAACATTTCCATCCCTCATAGCCTGACATCAAAGCAGAAGGCAAGTCTGCCCTAAAACATGGATATCTACCACCAATCGCAATAGATTCCTAAACTCCCACGGCCACAGTGCTGAGCAGGCTGCACTGCTGTGGTGAGGACTGAGCCCAGAGTCCCTCTGCAAGTGCAGTGGCACTTGGCTGCTTTCACGTTCTCCCCTGCACACTGTGGCATTTGCTGTCCGGGCACCTATGGAGGAGCGATCACCCCCCACCTCCACCCTGCACCGCCCCATCTCCGCGTTTGACCTGGGAGTCTGGCGTTTTCCGGGCTGAAGAGATCTTCCAGCCCCATTTTTCTCAGCTTCTCCTTGACACTGAAACTGTCCTCGATGCGGAAGCGAGGGAGGTAGACGACAAGCGACACCTCCGTCAAGGAGTCTATCCAGCCCTGCAGCTTCTCCGACGTCAAGTCTCGCTCCACCTCCACCAGCGGCGTCTCAGCATCAGGCAGGACCAGCACCATCGTGATATCGTCCCCTTTGTAAGGCAGCTCCAGCACTTGCACTTTGTCCTGGCGGATGGAGGCATGGCGGAATTTGGACTCTTGGTACATAACCGGGACCCTGCAGGTCTCACCGTTGGCTTTATAAAATAAATCCAGTTTTGTGTTTGGAGCTGGGAACTGCGATTTCCAGTGCCCCTAAAGGGAGAGAGCGAGAACGGACACACAGACAGACAAACATCAGCATCATCCCTCACCCCAGGGAGACAGGCTGCTCTCCAGGTTTTGTTAGCCATACCTTAAAATAAATGGTGTTGACCAGGACCAGGACAGTGAGATCATCAATACCTCCTTCTGGGATCACTTCTGTAATGCGCCCCTCTGTCTTGTTAGCTACCCACTCGTTAATCGTCTTCCTGGAAAGCTCTGGCTTTTCCTGAAGGAAGAGACCAAAATACTTAAGTCAAGGGTTTTTAAACACCTCTTTGCGCCCCCTCCGTAGGGGAGGGAATAACTGAATGCGTTCCCAGGGAGGACATTGCTTCCAGCACAGAGCTGCAGCATTTAGAAACGAGAAGCTGGAAGGTGACCGTGCTTAAGGCAAGCTGGGACAGAAGGAGCTGCGTCCCATGCTACCACTTGCACTCGCGTCCCGCGTGCCCAGCCTACAGCATGCCCTTCGGGCGAGCGATGGGGAAGCAGCACAAGCAGAAGGACATGGAAAAGAGGGAAAAAGCCCGAGGGGTTCAGACTCACTTTGAAGTTCAAGGGCCAGAGTTTGGCTCCATAAACTATTTCGCTAATGTTCTGGTAAGTCTCATTAAAGACCAAAGATTTCTCCCCAAAGAGGCGGTTGGCTGACACCAGCTCCGAGGATTTGTTGGCTTTCTTGTAAAGCCGGCAGTTCAGCTTGGCAAAGAAGAAGTGGATCTGATCAGATGTCTTCTCTGAAATGGTGTCGAAGCGAAAGACCTAGTGGACCAAACCAGTGAGAAGGAATCCATGAGCGGGGTCCTGCAGTCCTGCAGCCCCAGGCTGAGGTCTGAACTTGCACGCTTGCTACCAACATGCCAGACTGCTCACCCGGGGTCCCACAGCAAGTGTAGATACAGCCCTTTGCCCTCTGCCCACCAACATAGATCATGGAGCCAAGAAATCTGCAGGCCCTGAGCTCCATCCATCAACTTTACCAAATCTACGTAAAAGCAGCACATCGCCAGCCTGAGACCCAGTTTTGGAGAGTCTGAAATGAATTAAATACTGCTCAACCTACAGAGGTGCTGCTCATCGAGAGCCTTGCACGCCCTTTGCTGGTGAGCATCCTTTGCTGGTAGGGCCTGGAAGCAACTCTTCGCCGCAGGTCGCAGGAGGACCTGCAAGGCTTGCGCTAAACCCTTCTGCAATGCTACCACGGGCTGCTCCTTCCCACGAGTCAGGCCTGTTCAGTAACTCGAGTACACGTTATCTCTATTTGCAAGGAAAGAGACTATGTAGCAACCTTTTTGAGGCCAGACTTCTGCAGCACAGTGAGGTTTTTCTAATCCCTCCCTCCCTAGCCCCCAGCCAGAAGGACAGTTGCGATGTGTCAGCTAGCATCCATCCAACCTCTGAGCTTTAGGCCCAGAAAATCCCATAGCACGTCGCTCCAGGTAAACACCTGGGATCTCTGGCACAGTTTCCTGCACAGCAAAGGGAGTGATATCGGCCTGTTCGTAGGAGCACGTTTCCACGTCCCCGGGTGACTCTGTGTCAGTGGGAAGCACTGGCCTGAAGGGGCCACGAGGGAAGAATTTGGGAGACCCGGTTCACTGCTCTGCGCTGCCCCAGACCGCGGACGACCTCAGCTGCCACCAACGTTACTTCCTTTGCAGGCAGGAGCTGGTGCCCCTGGAGCAGTTCCTGCTCCCGCCTGCCCTCTGCCCGGAGCAAGGCCCCTCCAGGCTGTAGTTTCCCATCTGCGAGGGCACGACCCAGCGGGGCTCCCGCAGAGGACGAGCGTGCGACCCGCTGGCGGGCACGAAGGGCTGTTGGACCGGCAGGAGAGGGAGGGATGCGAACGAGAGCCCTAGCTACCCTCTTAGCTAACCGCTGGCCGGCTCTGCGAGAAACAAGCTGTTCCTCTGCCCTTTCTCTCCAGGATGGGTTTCCTTTCCTCCAGGTGGAAACGAACCTGCCAAGCCCAGGGAGACCCACCCTGCATGCTGCATCTAAGCGGGGAGGCAGAGGGGAAAAAAAGTGGGTGGGACTCAAAAAATTCAGAGCCAAAGAGCCGGCTGTGTCCTACCTGGGGGCCTGTTAAAATACAGCTCTTCCTTCCCGAGCCGGGGACCCGTCCTGAGCCAGAGCACCCTGCAGCAGCGGTGCTCAGCCACTGCCGGCTTTGCTGGCCCTCAGCCCCTGGTGACGCTACTGAAAAAGGCTGAGGAACTGCCACCGACCTCCATGAGCTGCTGCAGGGTGTCACCGCAGGCGCCGAGCTTGGTCATGGCGAAGGCTGTGGAGATACTGAGGGGCGACATGAAGATGTTTTCCCCATTGTCCTTGGAGTCGGCCAGGTACTTGTAGAAAACCACAGCGAAGCGCGAGTTGGCCCTCGACAGCTCCCACACGCGGGGGTTGGTGAACCCGGGGATCTTGCCTTTCCCTGTCTCTTGGCCCTCGCCTTCCTGCAGCTTCTTCTCCGGGTTGCGATAGATGCAGATGGGATTCACCGGGATGTCGCGTGGCTTCGCGGTGCAAATGTCCTCCACGACGTAGCGCTGAGGGGAGGCCAGAGCCCAGACGCCAAAGAGACACGCCACGAAAAGATGCATGTCCTGGAAAGGAAAGAGAGAGCTTACTACGTGCTCGGCCGCCCAGCAGACCCTGCTGCCTCCAGCAGGCCCACCGCTTTTAGGAGCGACGCGCTCCAACCGTGCTTTCCCAAAAGCCCTGGGTCCCGCCCCTGCCCGCGACGGGATCCTGCCCAGTAGCCACC